TTTAATGAAAATGCATTTAAGGAGAAGGCGGGGCAGAATGTGGGAGAAGAGTTAAAAGAGGGCTCAGCCTAGAATTCCTATGTAGCCATAAGCAAATTATATGGAGCAGGTGTTAACCATTAGTTGAGAAGACTCTTGTGCATAGGCATGATTAGCAATAAATCAGTTTGATTGGACCTTCATGTGTGGACCTGATGTTTTACACCTGACAGCTTTCTTTCAAGACAATCCAGCAAAGAATGTCAGATAATGGGCCCTAATAATCACAGGGGTTAGAAGTCCAACAGTTCTCATAGAAAAACAATCTTTTTAATTAAAAATGTGCAGGTGCAAGAAAGAAATAATGTTTTTTGTCAGACTGATACAGAAATTATTTTAAAGTAGCTAATTTCTGAATAGTTATGGAATATTGCCTTTTGACTGGGACACGGGGTCAAGGGCACACATCACACCCATTCAATGTACATATCCAGAAGCAAACCTTGTTCTAAGCAAAATGCTGGAAGAATAGAATAGAGAAGACTCGGACCCTTTGTTTTCATTCTAACAATCTGCTTTATATTTCTGGGCTCCTGGCTACCATTTGACAGAATGAGAGTCACACAACTTTGATCAGAATTTCTGTGAGGAAAACCACATGATTTCCCTGGGTTTATCAACAATCTTGCTTCAGACAGCTAAGTTCACACTGCCATTTGTAGACACGTTTGGCTATTGGGAAGTACATATTTTTCTGGAGACTGTTCCCAATGCAATCAATCTTTCCAATTGCTCAAAACTGAACTGATGGATGAGGTTACAGGGATACTATGGTGGGCTTCCAAAGCAGTCTGCAAGAGCCACAACTATCAAGCCAGAGGATCTAGTATTAAAAAAGTAATGTATATTATCAGATTTGTAAGAAGAGGAGCTTTCAAAGCCATGATTGTCAAGATGTGTTCCCCTGCTTAATGGAAAACAGCAATTCTTGCTGCCAAAACAAAAACCAAGAAAAACAAATAGTTTTAAGAAATGTCCAAACAATAATCTGTATCACATGGGTTTCTTACAGTTGTTTTCATTTCAGAAGGGCAAACACATTGCAGTTTCCTTCATCACCATTCAGCAAACCAAAATTCCTGGAAATATTTAAAACCTGAACAAGTAAGATAAGGAGCACTTAATAAAGCTGTGATGGCAGATGGTTTCATACTGAATAGCAATTTCTATGCTTCTAACATTTACCTATGTAAAACATTGTTAAGAAATGTGTATTTTGAAATAGCACTGGCTAGAGGCATGACCCAAAACATGGAAAAGAATAATTAGCAACAATGTTTAGATAGCTTTTCATTAACCTGCATGTTTTTTTTCAATGAATGAATAGGTTTATATTTGGGATATATTTATGCCATCATTTTATCTAATGTATCTTGGGCAACGTACCAGAAATCCATAGCGGTTCTTAAATTAAACATAAGAATCTTGTCTTGGGACAGAATCTCCAAATCAGTAGCCAGTTGGCAAAATTTTCAGACTGCAGAAGTTCTTTCTCAAGATTGGATTGATACTATTTTAAACAGAATTCTCTATGGGAAACAATTACTCCATTTTTTGCAAATAAAAAGTTGGAAAGTCCTTTGATGTCAGACTTTTCTATGCTTTGTTCATTGATATAATTTATGAAGAATAACATATAATATTCACACACTCTAGATTTTGCATGGGAGCTATCACTATATTGAGGCAGTGAAGCCAGAGAAAATTTCCATATCTTTGTTGCAACAAAATAAAAAGTCCAGGAAACTATCAAAAAGCAATGGTTTAATTTAGAATCAATGTTTACAAAACAAATCATTCCCATGTCTTTCAAAAATGACTTTAAAGTGCAGACATAATAAGTCCTATGATATGTTAATAATCCATACATGGATTTTGGTACTAATACTTCTGCATAAAGAAAGATCTAGGAACACTGTTATAAAAATAAACATCCTCTGGGTGATATGGGCAGCATACAAGTCAAATAAATAAAAAATATATTTAGAAATAGAATTTACAATAGTCTGTACATTTTAACAAGGGCAGTTAAATATGGTAATATTGACTTTTACAGTGACCAATCACCACTGGGACATTAATGCAAAGGTGGTATTCAGCAGGTTCTGACCAGTTCTGGAGAACCGGTAGTGGAAATTTTGAATAGTTTGGATAACTGGTAAATACCACCTCTGACTGGCCCCGCCCCCATCTACCCCCTGCCTCTGCTGATTGGGAGGAAATGGGGATTTTGCAGTAACCTTCCCCTAGAGTGGGGAGGGAATGGAGATTTTACAATATCCTTCCCCTGCCATGCCCACCAAACCACGCCCACCAAGCCATGGCATGCCCACCAAGCTATGCCCACAGAACCGGTAGTAATTTTTTTCCCAATTATTGCTAATCTGCTTCCCACCATCACAACATTCACCTTATCACACCCCAAATCCTCCTGGAGGGAGTTTAGACTCCTCCTTTCTTGCCACCATTCCACATAATCGACTCCAACCACAGCTAAAATCTTTCCTCATTAACTTCCAGGTTTGTTTAGGTTGTTTTTTGATGCTGCATAAAGGTCTTTGGATATACATTGCCGTAAGATAGCAAAGATGGTATATGATCCTGTCCTCTTCAGCCTCCCTGCCACAGGGACAAGTTGGTTGCTGCTCAGAATGATGGGCCCCAAGGAAGCTGTAAAACTCAGGCCAGCCTCCAACTTAACTACCAGTCTGATTGCTCTCCTGCTGTCAATCACTTTTAGCACCTGGGTCCCCACGTCTTCTGCAACACTTCCCTGGGTCTTCACTACTCCTACAGCTGAGCAGGACAACACAGCTCCCCAAAAGATATTGACTGCAGTCAAGTCATTATTGTCACATTATTATCACAAATCAAAGATGTTCACTGCTCCACTACAGTCAAAATGCAGCTAATCTCCATGAGATGATTGGTGGAGTTCTCACTTAGTGTTAAGCATTTCCCCTGAACTACTGATTGGTTATGTTGTTGCGCTATCACTATGCCACCAGTTCCTCAGGCAGCCTGATCCACATCAACTTGTCTGGCTTCAGTGTTTTTCTTGGTTGCCGATCCATCTGATTGTGTCCAACCATCCTGGAACCCCTCAATGTTGTTATTCTGGGCTTGCTAATCCATAACCCTGAGGCTCTATGAAAAGCTATCCAAGCAGTAGTTGCAGCAGAGAGAAATGAACCCCGTCCTACCAGAGCAGCAAATGTTCTGGGAACAGAACAGTTGTTCTCTCCAATAGCTGCTGGAGCTTCTCTCCATGTCTGCCAATGGTAGAAACAGAGGTTGAGACCATCTATATATCCACTCAAGTGACTACACAGCTCCTACAACCATGCTTTAACCACAAACTCCCTTATGTTGACACCATCCCTATTCTATCCTGACACCATTATGAAAAAGAAAGTTCCTTTTGAGCAGGTGAGATCAATCACTATTGTACTATTTCTCCAGAGCGCTAAAAAAAACATCTGAAGAAGAATTTGCAAAGACAGCCAAGCTGGTAATATAGATCTTATTTATAATAATGCAATATTTCCATCCAAGAAGTAATGGGTAGAAACCTGTTAAAGAGAGATCTAACCTAGAAATAAGGATAAAAATTCTGTTCAATGGAACAGCTTGCCTCCCAAGGTACTGAGTGCTCCATCACTGGAGGTTTTCAAAAATAGATTGGACACCCATTTGACAGGAATGATATAAGATTTCCTGCCTTGAGCAGCAGGTTGGACTAGGAAACCCTATGATTTTATGTTTACCTATTCACTAACTTGCATGCACTATAGTTTCTTTTTAAATGGCATTACAGTGTCATTCATCTTTGAAAAGATATTTTGTTATCCAGGTCAAGACTGTGGCTCTCATCCATGGATTGTTTCAGATCACTGTCAGCTTCCTTCTGTAGGCTGTAGTTGTTCTTAGCTGGAGCCAAAGTCCATCTTGGCTGCAAATCAAAACTGTGTTGAATATTGAGGCGTTAATGTTTATATACCTGGGACTACAAATATTCATGGTGCTATTTGCAGAAGCGAAAATGTTGGTGCCAAGAAGAGATGCCCCCTAATTTCCCTAGAAAGGACAAGAAACGCGCGTTCTAGTGGTAGAAAAACATTCTGATCCTGGATGTACTGTAAGCGGAAACCCTAATGGAGTATCTTGATCGTAAAGTTCATTTTCATTCTCAGATGCTTGAACGACTGTTGGCTAGGGACCAAAGAACTTGAAAGGCGCTTCCTCTAAAGACGCCTACTAATGCCCCCCTCCCCCCAACGTTTGAAGCGTAAGTAACCTTTCCAGCGAACTTCCTCCCTCCCTCCCCCCCCAATGAAAATACGGCTCCCCAAATGGGAACTGTAGTCCCAGTATATCAAGGGCAGAAGCGTTCTGTTTGGTCTGGCTTTTTCTGTCGAAAAGCAGCGGGATAAAGTAATCTGAACGTGAAAGAAACAGCAAAACACTTGTCGACTCTCGTCCCTTCCAATGCCTGGCAGCTGTCTCCTTCGAAGGAAGGGAGTATACAAACGGAAAGCCTTTGATTGAAAAAAAAGTGATTTACTGTATTAGAATTGCCGAGGTGTGTGTGGGTGTGTATGGGGGGAGGGGAGTAGGAGAAGTCCTGGCGCCAAAGTATGCGCCAACCGAATATTAATTATCTCCTAGATTAGCAAAGTTTGGCTCATCTCTTTAGTGTCCTAGCCGGAAAGGCTCCTTTAAAAAAACTGGTACCCAGCATTTTAGGAAAAGCTGAAGGGGATCCCTTGGATCATGTCATATGATCCAGGCACTTAGAAAAACAAAATTCCTTACGCTGATCACCTTAAGGCGGTCTCAGTTGTAAAATATATGCACTCGCAAAGCTAATTACAAACGCAGACCGTCGGCTCTTTTCCCATCTACGTAATTTTCGTGCAAGCACGCTAAAGACCATTAACACCTTAATGCCGGCTGTCTGCAAAACTACACTTCCCAGGAGGCAGAAGAGTCGGGCGCATGCGCGTCTCCTGCCTCCAGCATGGCTACGGTGTTGTCACGGGCGCTGAAGCTGCCAGGTAGGGGTCTTGACTTGCAGCGTGCCAAACGGTGGTGGGAAATGCAGAGTGGACAGGATGAGGATGACATCCCTGGAGTATGCAGGGCTGGGGGTTTTAGACTCGGATTTCTGAGTCCGAAGGAACATCCGGGTCCCATCTGGAGAATAGACCCACCAACCTCCTCCCCGCGTATATCCGGGTCCCAGCAGGTGCCCTTTATCTCTGACCATGATAGAGGGGAAAAAAAGATAAATGGATTGAAAGAATAAGGATAATTATTATGGGGAATGGAGAGGCGAATGAGATAAATCCTGGCTGTTAAGCGTTTGTGTGGATGCGCAGGTGCAGAGACCACCCAGTTCTTTTGCAGGGAGGAAAGGTTAACCTTGGTGGCAGAAGGAACTGGGGCAGGACTGGTCCTGCCCCAGGGAAAGTGATGGGGTTGAAGCTTTGAGATGGAGGAATGAGTAGGTATTGTTTTACTGTTGCGACAGAGATGGAAAATAGGTCTGCCTTTTTGTGCAATCTTTGTCCCTAAGAGCAATTTGGATCAAAGTATTGCTAGCCAACATTTTTGCAAATATTTACATTTCACCTGGAATAACTCGTTTTTGGAAGTAAATGAATTATTTGAGAACTCACAGACAGTGATAATGGGAGCCAGATACTTTCTGGCTATGATACTATGTTGCAGTCACCTTCACTTTCATTCATGGAATTTTAGGGGGCTAAAATAATGCTTTTGGATTTTTGGAATATTTTCTTTTGTTTATTGGTAGAAAAGGGGAAAGGTAGAGCAGACAGAATAACAATGCAACCCTTGTTTATTGGCTGTGGTAACAGCTGTCCATTTGGAATCAGCCCAGCTGTTAGTGAAAGTGCTGGGAAGATTGTGGTTGATTTAACTGAGTTTTTGTCATCTCTTTAAACTTCAAGAGATATAACTATAATTAAAGTCTTATTTTAAGCTTATTTTAAGTTGAGTGAGGCTGCATATCACGCTGCGTACAATGGTCAGTGAATAATACCTTTCTTGTACAGCTTGGCTTATCTTGTCCACTATTTTTTGTTGGGCTAGTTTTACCTTAAGAGTGAAGTCAATTAGGTGAGACGGATGATATAGGAATATGATGAATAAGCATGGTGGGTATTGTTTTTTACATTTTAATAGGTTTAACGGCTATAACCTGGTATAAAGATGCAGAGAAACTTATTTAGAGAGAATTGAACAGTGAGAACTGTGAGTTGTTCTCTCTTCAGTGAATTGGGAAATTCTGGAAGATTAAGTGAAACATTCCAGTTAAACACTAAATGAGTGTATTTTGGCACATAATTTGATTTGGTGAGTTAGAGCCCGAGAAATTCCAGACAAAAATGAGAAAGTACACCTAAGAAGATGACCTTTTCTTCTGAAACTTAACATCTTGCTATTAGCTATAAATTTGGGGTATTCTAACTTCTAGTAGTTGTAACTAGCAAAAGTAAATCACATATCTTATAGCAATGTAAAGAGAACCACTTTGGTGTCATAATTAAAAATCTGGATAGAAACTGAGAAACTGAGTTCTAGTCCTGCTTTAGGCATGAAGCCAGCTGGTTGACCTTGGACCAGTCACATACACCTACTCCTAGGAAGGAGACAATAGCAACCACTTCCAAAATCATGCCAAGAAAACCTCAGGAAACCTGTCTGGGCAGGTGTGAGGAGTTAAGGCTGACTTAATGGCAAAAGAAAAAGAAAAAAAAAGTTCTGTAGAAAAGCGCCGTCACCTCTTATGCTGGAATTAGATTAATAATGGTTGACTTCAGATTCTGGTTTTCCTTTATCTTGTTTGCTCTGGCATAGATCTACAAATTCCCAGGAAAAGAAATCCCTGGAGAATTGAGATAATGCACTTCTGATTGGGAATTCTCTCAGCTGTCTTGCTCATCAGACTTGAAACCACTTAATCCCCTTTTAAAGCATTTCCCCCTTTCTATCAAATACAGCCTTTTCTCTGCATTATTTTTCCTTGTAGAATGCAGCCGTAGAGCGTGTATCCTATATTTTCCTTTTTAACCACAGGCATTGAGAATATTTAGCTCCAGTTGCGTTTGTGTAGTATGTTTTTCTTCACATTTGATATTTGATTTGGAATAGGTTTTTGTTACTGACATTTTAAAATGTATTTTTAATCCTTACTGAAAGAAAAAAGAGAAAAATAAAGAGTTCATGAGGAGTGAGGTAGCAGATAAATGGAATAAAATTGAAAATTTTAACTGGAATATCTGCAGAGATATAAAAGTAATAGCTTTGCTGCTTGGAATAAAGCTTGTATATCAAGTACTGTTGTTACACATGGGATGGGACAGTTGTGCAAAGGAGTGGCATTGCATTAAAAATGATCACAATTATATTTGTGTTCAATCTGAAAGGATCTATCAATGTCAAAGGTTTTCAGGAAACAAAACTTTGGAAAAATTTCATTGTCCAGTGTAAGTTTACAGTACTAGGCCGTAAACAATAGGCTACAAAATCAAAAATGTTTTAATTATTGTGCTTTGAAAGAAGTTGACAAAAACTTTTTAACTGCCTTACCAAAAAGATGGTTAAGAGCAGAGTTCACCAATCTTTCCGACATTGCAGACCAGGGATGGGGAGGGGGGAGGGGATGGTTTTGCACGAGAGGCAGGCAAGCGTGTGTGCACATGCAGCTCCATTTGTGCGAGTGGCAGGTACGTGCACCTGCTGCTTGTGCAAATGGAGTGCATGTGCCGACACTTGCGATGTTCCGAAGGGCTCAAGGCCTGGTAGTAGGCCACAGCCCGGCAGTTGGGGACCCCTGGTTAAGAGGACAGAATTTTGGCACATATAGGTTAACCATAAAGAAACAACATAATACCTTCAGAGAGTCTGCAGGTCTTTAAGAAGATGTTGGATAGCCAACTGTCTGAAACGGTATAGGGTTTCCTGCCTAGGCAGGGGGTTGGACTAGAAGACCTCCAAGGTCCCTTCTAACTCTGGTATTGTATTGTATTGTATTGTATAATTGTTTCCTATTATAAAAATGAAGGCATTAACAATTATATAACCCATACCCTTTTTTTCTTAGAAAAACTCTGCCTATAGTGAAATGGTAGTAAATAATTTTATTAAATAAAAATAAATAATATAATTCAAAATAAATTTTGAAATATAGACAGACTTTTTCTTCTGTCCAACAGTGTCATCTCCATGCAGCAAGCATGCCCATTACCTTATCTAATAAATTGCCTTCCTTTCCTTTGGATCATTTTTAGTGGTCCTGAAAACACCATAAGTTCTTTCAACAAATTTCTTACTTTCTGTTTACCTTCTCAGGTAAGAAAAGTCCAGACCTTGGAGAGTATGACCCTCTCACTCAGGCTGACAGTGATGAGAGCGAAGATGACTTGGTCCTCAATTTGCAGAAGAATGGTGGAGTTAAAAATGGGAAAAGTCCCCTAGGGGAAATCCAGGATATTGATTCTGATGTGGAAACCTGTATTGCCAAGCAACATCTCTCGGAGGGTATGATGGAAGAGTACCCAAGTGAAATGAACAATGATTTGGAGCAGAAGACTGCCAGTTCCTTGATGCCTTTTTTGCGCACAGCCATGTTTTTACTCACTGTGGTTATCTCCATGATCCTTGTGCTGGTCTGTGCTTTCCTCATTCCTTGTCCACCAAGAGACTTGCATAATACTTGGATTCACAACTTAGGACAAGTAGCAGGTAAGAAATAATTGGAAATAACATTTTAGATTATGAAATGTATACCCTACCAAGAAATGTACTGAGTGGTTTGTTGAAACTATAGATTCCAATAAAAGAGAATATTGGTAGCTCAGGGTTGAAATGTGGGCTCCTTTATGCTCTCTGAGCTTGATGTTTGATTATCCAAACTAGGTAACATCATCAGTGCTAGTAAGATGTGCGGATTGCTGTCAGTTTATATTCTGGTGGCTTGCCTGTCAGTATTGGGGTCTTAGAGATTATTTGGTTGGTTCTTTGACAGCTTCTTGATTGGGGTATTGTATTTATTGAAAGTTTTGTTTTAGTTTAGTAAAAACTATCTTAGGTTATGTCCAATTAAGCAATTGTTCCAAATTGTCTCAAATTCCATGAACAAAACATATTAAAGCTTATTTTTAAACCAGGTACCAGGTTTATAGCTATTTAATTCTGTGGCAGTTATTCTGTTCAAATATTTATTTTCTTTGATTTTGAGTATAGCAATTACACATACATTGGATTAAATGCTCTATCCAGTTGAACTTTTAATGGCTAGATATTTAATGTGCATATGTGAATCTTTTCAGTCATACATGGGAATGTTAACTAAATTTGATCTTTGGACAGAAGAAAAACAACAACTGAGAGCTGAAATTTAAGTTAATTTACTACTCCAAGAAACAAAACAATTATCTTTTATTTCTTAATTTGCTTAATTTGTTATTCTGTAGCTGGAAATGCCATGTCTAAATGCTGTTTTTGGTATCTCCATGTTTCCCACTTCAGAATTATATGGAAATGGTATAACTACTTTGATATTTAGTATAGTGCAAGATATTTCATATGTGCAAGAGCTATTATGTTGTAGAGTGTAGAGCAGAATTTGTAGTTTCTAAAAACCGCAGTATGATAGGAAGTAATCTTCAAAATAGCTTTACATTAATAACTTATCTTTGCTCTTGCATAGATTCCAGTTTGTTACTTTGGGCCAGTCCTGACATCAATTTTGTTCAATTCCTCTTTTCCTCATATTGAAATATTGCAGAACTCGAGAGGCATCTCATTCTGAATTTTCCTTTACATTTGTAGCAATAGTAGTGACATTAAGTTTCAGGATATGGGATCGGGATCAAATGCTTCTCAAGAATGTAGTTTTGTGAGATGTTAGCTTAATTGATGTGATTACAGTGGTCAAGAAATATATCTGAGTGGGCTAAGCTGCAGAAAGTAGTGAGATTACATTTACAACAAGATTTTTATGATACCTGTATCAATAGCCATCCTGAATATGCTTAGAATAGATGGGAGGTACACTTTGGAAAAGTGATTATTCCACCTTATTTTTCAGATGGAGTTCTGTTTCCACCAGAACTTTTTGATGTAAATAATGATGGTCTCCCTGATGTCTTACTCTCCTTCACAGCTTTGAAAAATGCTAGCGTGTTGGGTAAGTGTGCAAATTGTAATAAGTAATTTCAGAATTGAGAGCTTAATGAAATTGTAGCAAGCTGGCAGTCCACAAACCCAACCTTCTCTCTAGCAAACTTGCCTGCAAGGAACAGGAACACAATTTCTCCATATCTGGGTGACAGTTTTTAAACTAAATATTTAGTCCCTTTGATTTCTGACTGAACAATCACTTCAATTAATCAGTTGAATTAATTCACTTCCTGCGATATGTTGCAATGTATACTTTACTTTCCAAGTAGTCTTGGAAAAATTTGAAAGTAGCACAACCCTCCACAGCAGGTTTTTCCTTTTCATTATAGAAAGATCAATTTACCTCTTCTACATGTGTCCTCAGGTGTCTCCACGCCATGGGTAACAATAATGGCACTTTCGGGTATGAACGGCAGCATCTTATGGTCCAGTCATGTTAAAGAAGAGATTCTAGGTGTGCAGTGTAAGAATTTGGACTCTGCGTTCTCTGCAGAGCCCGTCTGCCTTGTTACTGGGACCTCTACATTCCTCAGTCTTCTGAGTGCCTCATCAGGTAAGGTGACTTAGTGTAGCTAATAATCCACACTATTGAAAATGGGGAGTTTGGTAGCCCCTTTTCTGATACATGGGTTTTATTAGAATGGATAATGATAATAGTGTTGGACAGCTGCTTCCTTTTCTTCCAATACTTGAACTTTTAGATGAGAAGTGTCAAGGGTCTACTGTTCCATTGAATTGAGAGCTAATATGGATGATAATGATGATGATGAATTTTAAGAAGATAATTGGTTGATATCTAGGATGCTGGCAGCAGCCTATATCAACCATCAGCACCAGTCGATTATATTTGTGATACATTTTTAAATGTTCAGTTAACTGAGTTTCATGTTTAATGAATAAAAGAGATAATAATAATAAAGATAATAAAAGGAGTAAATAATAAATAAATACATCAGCCACACTTTGTGGGTGGGTATACATACACATTAAGCAGAGAATTAGATGTTCAGCAGAATGATGGCACGAGGGGGAAAAACTCTTCCAATATCCTGGCATTCAATATTTTATAGCACCGTCCCGAGAGAAGGAGATGAAACAGTTTGTGTCCAGGATGTGAGGGGTCTGCAGTCATGTGACTACATTTTGGATGATTGGTAATTGGCTTGCAGTTATGACAGGTTGCAGTCATGTGGTCATGTGATTGCATTTTGTGATTTTTAAAAAAAAACATTTTACAGCAAAAAAAACCACCTATTGAATAAGCTGGATTTGGACTTATGACCATGTGGCTTGCTTAATGACTGTGGTGATTCAAGTAACAAATAATTGGAAAATAGTCATGAAATCAAGTCTGATCACATGCGACTTGACCTTAGACTGCAATGGCTTATGACCAAAATTCTGAGCTCAATTGTGGTCGTAAGTCAAGTCAATAAATCCAGAACTGCTGGGCTTTGCAACATTGTCACCAAATATTGAGGGGGGGGGGGAAACCAAGATAAAAAGATTCCCAAAGTTTTTGAGTTCATGTTGCTCCTCGTGGTTCCCAAACTGTGCCCATCAGCAATAAGAGTTTTGTTTATTAAGTAATAACTGTGACACTTCTGTAGGTTTGCTGGTGCAGCCCTGAGGCAATGCATTGCACGGTTGGGAACCATGGACGTGACTTAATTATTGTATTTCCAGTGAACTTTAGAAATTAAATCATTGGAGTTGCGATCCTAACATACCTGGAAAGTGCTAAATTGAATATTTGATAAGATGTGACCATCTTGGTTGAAGTTTGTTCAATTGCCACCTTCCCATGCACCCTCACCTGTAAACCCTAGCCAGCTGGTAAGATGCTTCTTGGCTGATGCAAATGTATATCACCCTTTAGGTAAACCGGTTTGGACCTTTGATTCCCCCCACTTTTCCAATGGAATCTTGGCTGCTCCAGCTGTTATTATACCTGATGTGGATGGAGATCGGGTCAGCGATTTGATGGTCTTAACCCTTGGAAAAACACAGGTAGGATGCATTTCGCAAGGAAAGAGGAAGATTTGAACACACTATTTTTTTATAGCTTATCCCAACAGGGTGTCCAAAATATTTAGAGAATAACAGATTAGGCAATGCTAGAATAATTGCTTAATGAATAGTCTTCCACAATGTGCCAGCCTTTTTTTCTGAAACAGAAAAATATTATAAACTTTTGTTAATTCAAAAATGGCTAACTCAATTTTCCCTACATCATCTGACCCTCAGATAGATTGGCTAAAGAGACCAATCTAACCAAACCAAGAACCAAAGAAATAAGAAACCTGATAAAATCTAACAGGATGCAGCTAGAAAATAATTTAATAATGTTTTTCATTCAGGGTTTCTTGGATGTGCATTGGATAGAGTGTGATTGGACTTCCATCTTCACATTCCCTCTACTTTTTTTTTCTTATGTAGCCAGAATTAGGCTTTATCCTGATATCGGGTAAAACTGGAAACCCAGTGGGAGGACCTGTGAAGTACAGCATCAATAGAAGTGGAAAACTGATTGATCCACAGACTTACATTACCTGTCATGGAGCAGTCTACATCCTGTTTGGCTTTGGTAAAATGTCCATTTGCTTTCTTATTCTTATTTCTGAAGCATCCTGAAATTACATAAAAAGAGTTTGACCCATAAACCCTGGCAGCATTACTTTGGTCCTGATGACAAGCATTTCATGGGCTTCGCCTCCAGGATACTTATTTCTTTAATTAATAAATGCCAAAATCATAACAAGCATAGCAATTTACACTCCTAAAAATGTCTACTTGGCATGGTGGGTAAAAAATGAAATCACTGTGGGCATAACTTTTCTGTAAAGCCTGTAAACTATTCAGTATGTCTTTTAAAAGCTATCAACTCCTTTTATTTCACATATACATATAACTGGTACCATATTGCTTAGAAAGGTACCAATTTCTTTCATATAAAAAAGCTAAAAATATAATGATACCTGAGCAGAAAGGAAATGGCCCAAAGAGTAGAGGAAACAAAAAACAAACAAACAAACAAAAAAAACTCAGCTCCTAATTGACAAGATGATTTTGGAAACCTGCAATAGAAGGAAAGTCAACTTGAATGCAAAAGAAGGCATTCAACTCCCTGCCACATGAAATACAATCAAGGCAATGAACACCTGGGCAATTCGAGTCATTAAATACACATTTGGAAGGATGGACTGGACGCAAGCAGAATTAAAAGCCCAAGTTAGGAAAGTGAGAAAAATAATGAACAATGACTCATGGTCTTCATTCACAGTCATGTTGACATACTACTTAGCAAGGATCGTGGATGGGTATGAAATGTTGCAAGTACGCAAAAGTTGAAAAAAGGGGGGATTGGAAGAATATCTGAAGGACAATGAAGAAGATACAAGCTTGTACACAGTGAAGACTTACTGCGTACCAGAGAGACCAAACTGGCTTGCAAGAAAGACCAAATGAAAAATAGAAAAGAGATGTGGAAAGGTAATTACATGATCAGTACACAAACAAAAACCTAGCAGGCAAAGTAGAGAACAAGAAATTGCTAGGAGCAGGAAAATTGAAAAGAGACACAGAGGGACTAATTCTGACTGCACAGACTTAAGCTTTAAGAACAAATGCATACAAAACTAGAATTGCGAAGATGTTACCAGACTGCAAATGCCATCTCTGCAAAGAAGCTGAAGAAAGAGTGGTTGCCTGTTTAGCTGCTGCCAGACAATCACACAGACTGACTGCAAATAGTGGCATGACAGAGTAGCAAGAATGGTGCATTGGAAGATCTGCAAGAAATCCTATTTGTTTGCAAGCATGAACTAGTAAAAACAAAGTAGACAAAGTAATGGAAAATGAAGAAGATAAAAGTGCTCTGGGATTTTAGAGTTCAAACATACAAACACCTGCCACAGAACATCCTAGACTTAACAATTGTTGATAAGAAAGGCAAAAAAGTTTGGATAATGGATGTTGCAGGACTGGGAGACAGAAAAAGAGAAGGAACTCTCTGAAAAATCACAACGTACAAAGGCCTACAAATAGAAGTATAGAACTATGATGGCAAAAGAAAGCAAACATAGTATCAATATTAATACACACCTTGGGTGCAATCCCAGAATATCTGGAGCACCACTTAAACACCAGCATCGACAAATCACCATCAGTCAATTACAAAAGGCAGGTTTATTTGGAAAAGCTTACATCCTGCAGCAATACCTTTATCACGATCAAACATCTGCCTATCCCAGGTCCTCAGAAAGGACTTGATAGGTAGGTTAAAATGCCAAATCCAGCCTAAACATCTGGCTGACTGTGTGAGCAACCATAATAATAATGTAGATAATAGGTCACATTAATACCAATGCAAAGAGACTTGTAGGAGTATTCTATAGTGCAGAACTAGTGCATGTATTCTGCACTAAATGAGTCCATGTCTCTTCTTGGAAAACATGGAGAGTATATGTAAAGAGCTCTAACAGAAAAATCCACTGCTCCAACTTAAAGATTCCAAGATCAACTCAACAGAAATATGATTATTGTAGAATAGCTAGAATTTTTATCTGTATACATAATAAAGGCCCCATAGTGATGGGATGTCCCTGTTTAATGTCTGTAACTTTCCAGCTGCTGACTGATTTCGCACCTGCTTTATCAAACACAACAGAATTTTAGACTTTGCATTTCCTTTCTACCTAGGTCGGGTCTATGCAGTTGCTTTACGAGATATCTTTGCGCAGGCCAGAAATCACGATAATTTCCCTCCAGTGCTGCAGCACGAAGAACCAGAGTGGGAGAAACACAGATCGATCAATTTGTCAGAGTTCATTGATATTTACAGGTGGGACACTTACCTTTTCTCTACAGTGAAATTTGTGAATCACCCAGTTTTAATTCGGTGTGAAATGCACAAATCTTCAGCTGGCTAAAGATTCAAGAAATGAGTGTGATGATACAGGTTTTATTTTTTTTAATGGTTGCCATTGCTCAAAGGGGTGTTTTTCCTTTCATTAAAGTTGACTGTCCAATAATATTTGTTGTTGTGATCCAAGTCCAAAATACATAAACTGTAAATCAAGTTTAAACTAAAATTGCAATTGGGCAAAAGCAATGTGTCGTGCACTAGAAATATCTATGTATTACAAAAAACACTTATTGTCACGACGTTTAATTGGATGAAAGAATGAATGACAATATTTGGCCCATGACTTCAGAGAGAACAAGGGAATGAAATTTGGGGTGCTTGCGGCTTTTGCTGGGCTGCTGCTATGGTCATATGATCTCCATTTTCAATGTTCTGTGACAGTTTCCCAGCCAATCTTGCAATCTCTTGCTCCCTCCCTCCCTCCCTGCCCCACCCAACAGCAGCAACTTGTCTGCCCATTGGGAAGGAATATGGGGGCAGGGGGAAGGGATGGAGGAATCAAGGGAAGGAGGGAGATTTCCAATGCCCCTGCCAAATTCCCACAGGAAAATTCAATAGAGAAACCAGCAGGAAGTTAGAAGTTGCTCCCGAGCCCACTGCATTTTTATCTATGTATCCTTGATCATTCTGTTTCAGTGTTTTAGGTAAGGAAATATCTTTGAAATAATGACTGAGTGGGGAATTGGTTGTCCATTAAACACTAAAAATAAACTATGTAAACCTGTACAAAACAAATCAAATTTTTTAAAAAGCAAAAAATGACAAAGAACATAAAAACCTGAATCATAAAGTAGCTAAAATTAGCCCTAAATTTACAGGTGGTAACTAAGAATTAAGATAATAAGAGCTATCTAATTTGAAAACAAAAATTAATATTTAGTGGTTAAAAATTATAGTTAAAAGGTTAGGATAGGAATAGTTGTTTCAGATTAAATTACTTAAAATATTTATGAGCCTGGGCACAGACGCATCTGTAACATCAGCACAGGGGTTGTACTTGGAGATAAGTATATTAGGCTGTATAGATATAAATCAGGGGTAGGCAACTATGGCCCTTTTATGACTTATGGACTTCAATTCCCAGAATTCCTGAGCCAGTCACACTGGCTCAGGAAATCTGGATTTGAAGTCCACAAGTCGTAAAAGGCTCAGGGTTCCCTATCTCTCATATAAATAATGGTCTGCTTTGGCCCAAATTAGAAAACTCTGTCAGAGTCCACTGTGTTTATTATGCTGCTACACAGAATTTTGCAATGTGGTACGTAATAGCGGGGAGATTGACTGTCCTGCAGCATTGAACATTTGGCATGCTGCTTCTTTGTTTTTCTCTAGAGGCACAGACCTGGGGCCTCAGGCACAGGCAGCCTCCGAAAGCTTTGAATGCAGACCTTGGAACCTGCCCAAAAGTGATTGTTGAATTCTAATATCTAATCTTGCAGAAGGGAATTATTATTCAAGACCATAGGCTGTAACTCTATTTCTTTATTTTAGTTAGTTTAATCTAATTTAATGAAATTAAATCATTTTGGATTTTTCCTGCTTTTACATGTTTTCTGGGGGGGAAAAAACCCCAGATATCTAAAAACTTTGCATACAGGCAGTCCTTAACTTACAACAATTCATTTCACAATAGTAGTGACGTGATCATTTTTGCACTTATGACTGTCACAACATCTCCATGGGTGCATCATGCTTCGGGTTTACTCTCCTAAGGAGGTGGGCATCAAGAAGAAGGGCCTTCTCCACAGTGGCTCCCTCTCTTTGAACATCATCCCTGCAGAGATAAGATTGGCCTCCATTTTGACACTCTTTCGCAAGGCTCTGAAGATATGGTTGTGCCAATGGGCCTATGGACCCCAAAATGACATGGAGCTCATCAATTGGCTTGTTTGATTATTGTCACTGTGTGTGTGTGTGTGTGTGTGTGTGTGTGTTTGTATTGTTTTGGTATTGGGATTTTATACTTGTCCACCCAGTGGACAAGTGTCATATAAATAAAAAGTAATCAGAATTTAGGCACTTGTCAACTTGCATGTATTTATGAAGACTGCAGTATCCCAGGGTTGTGTGATTCCCATTTGAGACCTTCTCAGTTGGATTCCAACAAGCAGAGTCAATGGGGGAAGTTGGATTTGCTTAACAGCCACATGATTCATTTAATAACTGTAGTAATTTACTTAACCACTGTAGCAAAGAAAAAGGTTGTAAAAATTTCCAACTGCCTTGCTTAGCAACAGAAATTTTGGTCCCAATTATGATCCTAAAGCAAGGACTACCGATATACCATAATTATTTCTTAGCAAAGTGCAGGACAATTGCCTTAAACCTACCACAAACATTTTATGCTGGAATTAGTTTTTAGTATTCTGTTCAAATTATGCTGCAATATTTCTGGTGGGCTTAAAAAGTAAAAGTCTGAAGGGTTTCTCGCAAACTCCCAGCAATAGCAATAAGACTTATATACTGTTTCACAGTGCTTTACAGGCCTCTCTAAGTGGTTTACAGAGTGAGCATATTTTCCCCAACAATCTGGGTCTTCATTTTACCCACCTCCAAAGGATGGAAGGCTGAGTCAACCTTGAACTTGAGCTGATGAGAATCAAACTGTCAAACTGCAGTCAACTAGCAGTCAGCAGAAGTAAAGGCACTAACAATTCTTCCTTTTTTTCTTGCATAAATATCTTGGCTAAAGTACTCTCTCCGAGTCTCAAATACCCAACATAATTGTTGTGTGGTTAAAATTAGAAGATTCCAAGGACAGAAATCACAACAACAACCAGCTGAATGGTAGCACTTACCCAGCCTTTGTAAATCTAGAAAAGTTAAACTGAGACAGAACTATTTTAAAAAAAATATTTTTTGTTACTTTTACAATAATAACAGAAAAATAAAACAAATGGTGCAGACCTGGTTAATACTTGAAGCAGAGACCATCAGAAACTTCTAGGCTTATACAATAGACTGGAAATTGGGCGGGGGGGTGGAGGAACCACATTAGAAGAAAAAATGGGGAACCTGTTCTGTACTGCACTGCTGCCATAACAATGAGTCCGTGACCAGAAAAACAATGGGAATTGAGTGTACTGGGAAAATGATTGACATTACTGTAATTTACTCATTACTTTTGTTTGCTCTCTGTATCTTGCAGTGGTGGCGTTGTGTTTCTACAGGCAGTGAAATCTCCTGACAGCAATTGCAGTGACCTTTTGATCACCACTGAACATGGTTTGACTTTACTGCGAGGTCAAGATTTGGAACAGCTTTGGACTCTAAAGAAGCGAGATATGGATATGGATATTGACAGGTTACTGGGTTTGAGGGGTGGAGGGAATATGATCTTTTCTGCTTCTCCTGTTAAGCTCATATGTAATGGCAGGTTAATAGGGAACAACTGTTGTTAGTGTTAATCTATAGGCGCTTCCTCTCAGCTTTGTGGGATGTTTTCCCTCTTAAATCAGTTTTCCTTAAATCTAGTTAAGCTGGCTTGGGTTTTGGGGAGTTGGCATTCAGTGCTTCTAGTGAATCATCAAGTTGGGTCAGGTTGATCTGGAGAACAGCTCTAAGCAACTGAAAGATATATTCATCTGAACCTTTGATGGCTGGTGTTTTTTTTTAATTATTCCATTAATATAACATGTCTGTAATGTCATAAATTGAGTCTCAGACATGAAAATAAGTTAAATTGTAGAGGAAAGTAATTACTGACGTCAACATCAACATTTATCATTATGGAAGCAGGGAATTCATTCTATTTTTGGCTAAGCAGTTATTCACTTACCTGCCACATTCTTGTTAGTAACCCTTATTAGTGGAAGTTTCTCCTCTCAGAAATCTGGTTGGCCTTTGTTGCCTTCAAGGGAGCAATGAATATATTTCCCCCTTTTAGTTGTTTGACTCATTTAAGTTATTCCCTTGGTGTTAGATGAACAGGTACATCTTTAGTTTATGCCTAAAGCTTCCTAGATGCAGCAGCAGCCCTAACTAGATGAGAAATATTATCACACACATTTTAGACAAGCTACCTCTGACTATGAAAGTAGTTATGAGTTTGCAGTTGAAACAAGAAGCTTGGTATTACCAGTAGCATTAAAAAAAGGTGTTGGTTTGTTCAAGTCCAAATGTGTGGTGTACCTATGTGTATATGTGTGTGTGTGTGTGTGTAATCCTAGTCATGTTAAAAAGATGCATAAAAGAGTCATGAGGCTTTGAAGGCTACCTGTTTTTGTATTATGTGAAGTACGTGCACAAGATTCATCTCCAGGCACTACTCTGAACAGGGGCATAGTGGCCATAAAGGACACAAAGCTTCAAATGAAGTAGAAATTTAGCTGAATCCGATTCTACTCAAGTGGGAAAAAATGCTGCTAGGAAATTCAAGATATTACTAGGGCCCAAAACTGTAACTTTGCTTTTGTTTTAACAACTACTGGTCTCCTGATTAAGAGAGCAGATTAAGTGGACAAACACTCTGAAAACTTCTCACGAAGTCTAGGCTTGTAGGAATGCAGATGTGCTCCAATGAAGGAAAAGTTACTTCTTTCCAGGCATGGACATAAGATGTTTCATTTGTCTACATTTCAGTGTGAATTCTTTCTTCATTTTTACAGTCAGCCTTGCCCAGGATACTTCAATGATGATCAAACTTTGGACTTCATGCTTCAGGGCCAGCATGGAAACGTCTCTAGAAAGGTACAGTTACGGCTTTCTTACAGTGGTGGGATTCACATTTTTTTACTACCGGTTCTGTGGTGTGGCTTGGTGGGCGGGGCAGGGGAAGGATACTGTAAAATCTCCAATCCCTCCCCACTCCAGGGGAAGAATACTGGAAAATCTCCATTCCCACCCCTCTCCAGGGGAAGGATACTGTAAAATCTCCAATCCCTCCCCACTCCAGGGGAAGGATACTGTAAAATCTTCATTCCTACCCCACTCCAGGGGAAGGATACTGTAAAATCTCCATTCCCTCCCCTCTCCAGGGGAAGGATACTGTAAAATCTTCATTCCCACCCCACTCCAGGGGAAGGATACTGTAAAATCTCCATTCCTACCCCATTCCATGGGAAGGTATTGTAAAATCTTCATTCCGTCCCCACTCCAGGGGAAGGATACTGTAAAATCTTCATTCCCACCCCACTCCAGTGGAAAGATACTGTAAAATCTTCATTCCTACCCCACTCCAGGGGAAGGATACTGTAAAAATCTCCATTCCGTCCTCTCTCCAGGGGAAGGATACTGTAAAATCTCCATTCCCTCCCCTCTCCAGGGGAAGGATACTGTAAAATCTTCATCCCCACCTCACTCCAGGGGAAGGATACTGTAAAATCTTCATTCCCACCCCACTCCAGGGGAAGGATACTGTAAAAATCTCCATTCCCTTCCCTCTCCAGGGGAAGGATACTGTAAAAATCTCCATTCCCTTCCCTCTCCAAGGGAAAGATACTGTAAAATCTCCATTCCTTCCCCACTCCAGGGGAAGGATACTGTAAAAATCTCCATTCTCTCCCCTCTCCAGGGGAAGGATACTGTAAAACGTTCATTCACACCCCATTCCAGAGGAAGGTTATTGCAAAATCCCCATTTCCTCCTGATCAGCTGGGACTCGGGAGGCAGAGAATAGATGGGGTGGGGGGCATTCAGAGGTAGTATTTACTGGTTTTCTGAACTACTGGTTCTCCAGAACTGGTCACAACCTGCTGAATACCACCTCTGATACAATCCTCTGCAANTATTTCTGAAGATTTTGCTCATTGTGTTTTGTGCCACAAAGACTGCTTTCCAGAACTTAATTTTCAGCCTTTCGGCTGGGAGCTCACAGCCTTGCAAGTATCGCAAGGAACTGATAACTGTTACTGCAGTTAACTCTAGCAAAGTAGCAAAAAGCTACTTTGAAAGTATTTGTAAATGGTCATAAAAACTTGCACATTTCCTCCAAAATACACCCTCTCTTAACTAAATCACTGTGTAAGATATCTATGGAGATTCTCAATCATCCAGTTCCAAAAGTGCTTTTTCCAAAAGGCAATTGGACTTTCTTGGTTTTTTCCTTGAAAACATTTTGCTTCTTATGCAAGAAGCTTCTTCATTTCAGGACTGAAGAAGCAAGAAGCAAAACTTTTGCACACCTTTGGGGGGGGGGGGAAAGCACCTTTGAGTGTAAGATTGTTATTTCTTCCAACCATCTCTGCTGTATGAAATCTGCAGTGAAGACTATTGGGAATTGGATTTGTTGAAGCAGTTGGGTTTCTTAAGTGATCTGGCTCTCATTCCCCGAAGCTGTGCAAGCCTTACCACAAAGCAGCCGATTTTAAGTGCGATCAAGGCACACTTAAGTATTCGTTCATAATTTCTGTGGTAACTTTAATGCCAGGGAAGGCAGAGAAGTGGGAAGAAGTGTTTGCAGTTTTTTGGTACTAGAGGAAAATCAATTTGACTGGGAAACATATTTATTTATTCATTAAAATTATTTATTTATTAAATTTTTATGCCACCCATCTCCCTACAAGGTGACTCTGGGCAGCTTGAGATTTTTCTGGCCAGAGAACAGGGAATTGGGTACCACCTAATACATTGACAACAGAAGGGGGAAAATGAACTAGTTTAGTCTTCTAGGAAGTATGCTACCCACTCCTCTCTTCTTCCAAGGATATGAGTATGTGGAGTGTCACAGTACACGACTGTTAATTACAGCCTCAGTCAGCTCAGAACAAACTTTGAGGAACACGATTGTCAATTGTCAGGAATGAAGAGATTTATGTGTGATGGAGCACTGTCACTTTTTGTTTCTCGATTTTTAACAGTGACGTATACAAAACAAAGAAACAGTTGGCCAACTTTCAGGAGATGTTAGAGAACATTTTCTTACCTCTCTTTGAAGCCACCATCAACCCTGCCAGCCACCCAGAATTGCATCTCTTCTTGGAGCATGTAAGTAGGGATGTTGCAAAAAAAAAAAAAAAA